AGTTTTTAGAAAACCCAATTCACCCCCCTCTTGGGTTGTGCCATACATACGGGACCCACAAAAAGCTAAACGGCTATTGCGTTATTTAATTGGCACCTTTGATCATGGATTATTTCTACACAAAAATAGCAAGGGTGTGTTACACGCATTTTCTAATGCGGATTGGGCAGGGAACTGTGATGATAGAACCTCAACCAGTGCACATATCATTTATCTGGGTAAAAATCTGGTTGCTTGGGCTTCTAAGAAACAAAGAACTGTAGCTCGCTCCTCAACAGAAGCGGAATATCGATCGCTTGCTACTACTTCTGCTGAGGTAATCTGGATTAAAAACTTACTCCAAGAGTTGCATCAAATAATAGAGGAAGTGCCAGTGATTTATTGTGACAATTTGGGTGCAACTTATGTTGCACAGCAAATCCAGTATTTTTTTCATTCAACTTATGTTGCAGCAAATCCAGTATTTCATTCGCGCATGAAACACATAGCAATTGATTATCATTTTGTTCGCACTCAAGTTCAACAAGGCACGCTGCGTGTTTCTCATGTTTCATCAAAGGATCAACTGGCTGATCTACTGACGAAGGCGATGTCAAGTCATGAGTTTCTTCGTTTGCGGTCCAAGATTGGCATTGCTCAACGTCCTGCCATCTTGTGGGGGTGTATTAGATAATCATTGTGAAACAAAATATTGTTTTGTAACTAGATATTGATAGGCTTATACACTTTTGTATAGCTGTTTAGATAGGTCTCTCTCTTATCTCTTTTTGTATATAAACACACTTACACATAATGAGAAAACAACAACTTCTCCAAATACTTTACATATGCCCATTTATACTAGACGAAAGGACATGTCTTCTATTTTGTGTTTTTTTGAGTTTTATCATTGATTTTGGTATTTGCGTTTTGTCCTAATTAGTAAATTTTTAAATATGTTTATAATTTAATCTTTTCTTTTCTTTTTTCATGTAACATTTAACAGAGAAAGCACCCACCAACCTTTTAGCTATAGCAGGAAGCATAATTGTCTTCTCTATCCCTTACCACCATGCCAAACACCTGTATACAAGCCTTCAATATGGTTGCTGCATCAACATTAATCTTGATACAGTCATCTTTTGGTAGACTTCGTTAAATAGTTTCTTCTCCAGCGTTTTCAGCAGGCAATGCATCATCCTTTACCCGTGCTAATTTCAAAAAGTGGAAATTGGATCCTGCCCGCTGAGACTGCAGAATTACAATTTCCAAAAAATATTACTTCAGTTCTACCTAATGAGTTCTGCTTATATATATTTTCAGCTTTTTATAATTTTATAAAAAAATATTATATTGCATATCTTCCTCCTCTTTCAGAATCATTGAATTCTTTTGTAGACTTAGAGAACTATGATAAGATTGCATCCTTAATCCTAAATTAATCTAAGATTGTTACGTTAACTCTTTAATCGCAATGAAAGGGATAAAAAAATATTGGATGTTGTCGTTGCCGTTACTAGTTTTCAAATTCAAATTATGAAAGTACAAAGAAAGAAAGAAGAAGAAAAAAAAAAAGCCAACAGAAGTAAATCAATACCCACCATGATCATCAAAAAGAGAGAAGAAAAACACCAACTACCGTTGCTGCTAAAAGAACTCTTGCTAGAGTTCCAACAATTGAAGGCCAATGAGCTTCTCCTTCACGGATAATAGCAAGAGTCTGTACAACTATATACTCAATTCTTTAACGCTGGAATATCATCCAAACCCAGATTCCTTTTTAAGCTTCAAAAATCCCTTTGTTTAATTCTCTACAACCGAGTTGAACCATAGTTAAGGCTTAAAGATTTCACCAAGCACTCAAAGATTGTGATAGTATTAAGAGTGAAAGTAACAGAACCTAAACAAAATAGAAGAAGAGAACAGAAACGAAGTACGCAAATATAAAATTAGATGGATAATTAATTTAAAAAAATAATTTAATTGATCAAGGAAACCTATTGTTGCAGGTTTCCTTAACACGTGTAAGTTGATTATATTTTCTCTATTGATACAGAAATTATATGTTCTGTATAGTAGCAAAAGCCTTTTTCTTAATCATGTTAAACATGGAAAATTAGACTAACCATGACAATAGACGGATCTATACTCTATACTTTTGCCTATTTGTTTATTATCGGCTCATGTTGTTCTTGTGTTCAGTTTGGATTTGATTGTGGAACTCTTTATTCAAGGTTTTTGTTTGTTGATTTTGAATTTGATTGTCAATTTTTTAATTGGATATCAAAATTTGAAGAAATTTCTGTTATTTAAAAGAAAGATGACTTGAAGATGAAGTGACTTTGGTGGAAAAAGGTGGAAGGCTCTGCTATTGCTAATGGCAACGGTGGTGGTGGTGTTAAGGTTGAAGGAGGTGGTACATTTTGAAGAGAGGAGATTCATAGCAGGTTGCAACATTTAATGAATGGCAAAAATGAAAATTCCTTATTAATGCCATGTGAAGTCCATGTGTCATGCTGGTGTGGAGTTTAAAATGCTACATCGATTGCCAGCGATGAAAAATAGTGCCCACAATGATGCAATCATTTTTCCAGTTGTGCAAATAAACTATAAACACCTAATTGCTTTTTTTATAAAGTTTAAAACACTCAATTTATAAAATTTTCGATTCAGATACTAAAACAGAAAAGTTTAGAAAATTCAAATACTATATATAATATTATCCCTTTTAAATATGATAAACTCCACCATATCTAATACAATTTAATTCAAAAATAAATAATTGTTCAATTTACTTTCAAATTAAAATTAATATAAAATAATAACCATGCTATCATTTAAATTCATAAAATAAGTAGTTTTATTTATATTCCATTAAAAGCTATATAAGTTACTTACTTGATATGTTATTAATTTTCTAACCTTAGATTAATCAATTATATTTAATATAATTTAATTCAGTTAATAAATAATCATAAATTCAATTTATTTTTAAATAAATATAAAGACAAAATTAAAACACATGTCATTACTATGAAATTTTAAATAAATATAAAAGCAAACAATTATAAAAATTACAGATGTCACTTATTTAGAATCATAAGTAGCAGCACTAAAATGAAAAGTGGTAAATTCATTAATTTGATTTATTTTAGAATTAATGTAAAAATATAATTAACTCACTATAAAATTCGTGAAAAATAATTTATTTTAAGTAATTACAAGTTATAAAAATAATCAACTTATCATACTGTTAATTCCTAACACTGTAATTAATCAATTAGAATAAATATAAATCAATTTAATAAAAAATAATTTTTAATTTTTTAATACAAAATAATAACTGTCTATATCATTAAAATTTATAAATTATAATTATTTATATCATAAAATTTACTATAAATTGTTAAACTTAATATTCATTTAATCTTCAACCGTATTATTGATATTATATTTAAAGGTTTAATTCAACAATAAACAATCTATAAATTTAATTAATTTAATTAAAAAAAATATAAAAAAATAACCAATTAAGGCATACATATATTATTGATTTAACCCTACTTCCGCAACAAGGGAAAAAATCTACCTGTTATATATTATAGGATATAATATATATTCATTTATTGATTTATCTACATGCTGCATGCAGTAATGCACAATAAATCTTTAATCTTAGAGCATATTGTGATATTATTTTAAAATGTAAAATATAAAAAAATTTAAATTTTAAAATTATTCTTAAATTTATTATTGTTAAGAAATTTAAATTAAAGAAACATTTCTATTTCAAATCATTAGAATAATTATATAAAAATTAATGTCTATAATAAAATTGAAAGAAAAGAAAATATATATTAAAAATCATTGATTTTAATTTATTTTTGAGTTAATAAATTTTTTTAGACGATATTAAAAATAATAAAATAAATAAGATAAAATAGACAATAGAAATTCAATCATAGATGTATATATATCATTCTTAATGAGAATTTCATATAAACCGCTTTCTCTTATGATTTGTTAAATTTTTTTCTAATTTGATAGAGTAATAGAAACTAGAAGAGAAAAAAAAATATATTAATGTCAAAAAGAAATTATATAAGAATTATTGAAATTACAAAAAAAAAAAAAAAAAAAAAAAAAAAAAAAGCTACCAAACTCAAAGAGTTCTCTCTATTTTATAGTCTTAGTAATAAGCAATTAATGGCAATTTAATATATTATCATTAAAACTAAATAAAAAAAATTGTAATTACAATTTTAAAACAAAAATATTAAAATGTTTGACATCATTATTAATAAAACTGTAAATAATATTTCACCCAAATTAACCTCTTTATCCATCTTTAAATATTATAAATTTTTATTCATATAATTTAATATAATGATATTCAATGTCAATATTATAATTAATATTAATTTAAAAGATAAGTTATAATACATGTTAATATGATAATCAACATCAAAATTATAATAATTTTTAAATAAAAATAAATTATAATATTATAATAATTTAATTATTTAATACATATTAATATGATAATTGAATAACAATTGAGAGCAATATTATGTAATTTTAATTCAGAAAGATAGGTTACAACATTGTAATAATTATAATTATTTACTAATAATGGGCATGATCTCATGTTCACGGATAATGTATTGATTCAATTTGATTTAAAGCTTACCATAAATCTCGAGGCCTTTATCCATCCAAATTTTAGTGCCTATGGGACTCCCGAAAATGGATTGCCACAAATATATTTATAAAAGAGAAAAAAAAAGCTTTAAAATTTAGAAAATAATTTTTTTTTTAGTTTATATCAATTTTTTCGTTACTCAAAAAAAAAAAAAACATATTAATTGTGTCAATTATTTCCAAAAAAACATATATATTCACTTGTAAATATAACAGAAGAAGTTATTTGCTAAAAAAATAGAGAAATTATTATTGATTCCAAAATTAAGGATATCCACTTGTAAATTTTACCAAATACACAACTAAATAGTAATTCACCAATTTCTCTTTCTCAGTCTCCCTCCAATCCAGACCTCTATGTGACGTGACCCTATCTTGAGCAGAACAGAGAACAGATATAAATTTCTGTAGTTCTTTGCTTGCTGAGGCAAACACCATACTTCTCAGTCGCTGTCACCACTTAATTAGTCTTGTCATTCCGGCAGCCGGGAATTTTCTACCCCACCGGACTCAACAGGGGATGGCTATCTCTACTGTACAGTTTGGTTTCTCTCCGATATCAACCGTAAAGCTTTCTCTTCGCCAATCACTTACTTTCTTCTCCGACAGAACACAGGTTTCAATTTTTGAGCTCTTTCATTTTGTTTTATGTTTTCTTTTTGTTTTTTTTTAACCTGAATGAAAAATTTTCAGGTAATCTCGCAACTGCAAGGCAATGGAAGTGGTCGGCGAGTGTGGCGGCGAAGAAAATTGGTACGATATTTTATATTTTTCCTATATGATTTTTTAATTTTGATTATTTAGGGTTCTTGGTTAAAAAAAGTTTTTCCCAAAAAAAAAAAATGTTGTTTTGATGAGTATGGAGTTTCATTGATTAATTGAATTTAATTTTCTTATTCCAAAGAGATAGAATTGGTCTATAAAGAAAATCCCTAAGAGTTTTACCTGAAATAGCGTCTTGTTCTGCAAGTGCACTCTGTATGGCTCTATCTCTTTAGATTAATCTAACTGAGAGTTATGGTAATGGTATTGTAGCACATAAGCTTTTCTGGATATTAGAAGCTGGTCATACCGAGTCTTGTAAAGAAAGGAAGTCAGTCAACGGAATTTTCTTGATCATGCTAAATACAAGTCCCTTGATGTTGAGCTTGTTTTATAATTTCGTTTTCAAAATGGTCTATCATGAGTAGGGATGACATTTTATCATATTGTATGATTTATTGGAAGTTTCAAGAGATAAGATCATATGAATTTATGAAAATTGAAGTTATAATATTGTGGATTCCAGCTAATTCTATCTAATGCTAGGATGAGAGGGTTTGGGGTCTTTTCCTCTCCTCTGGAAACCCCTCTGGCAATTGGATAAGAAAATGGGTGACTGAAATTTTTGCAAGCACTATTGTCGTTCATATATTCAATGCCAAAATGGGCTAGAGTATAGTGGTGAAAATAAAGGGCAGATTCTGAAATCTTAAATTTTTAGATAATACATATATTATGTTTTTGTAGAGCTGAGTTGGTTTAGATGCCTTAGGTACTGCAAGGAAGCTAAAATCCAACCTCTGTCAGGTGGATGTTGGTTCTAGTTTCGTCATTTAGAGAGAACAAAAACACAAATGCATACGCACGCAGGCTGGGATATTCTCTAGTCTTAGGGAAACACAATATGCTGTTAGACGGTTGTTTTACTGATGCTAGAACCATAAGGAGCCCAAGAATTTTGCACTTGTATAGATGCTTACCAGATTACATTTAATATGTAATGTTACAATCAAATTGTTGTCAAAAATTTACTTACTTCTATCTTGAGAACCACTTTTATTCTTTTATTTGTATTGCCAGGGTGGTCAATTAATATTTCTTGTTTAATCAAGTTGAGAAATATTCATCTACAGTCTGACACTCAACTAAAGTTTGAATGGTTTCTGTTTTGGCCTGGGAAATCCATTCGGTGCAAGTCTATCTTACCATGAATTAGGAAATAAGTAAAAGGGGAGTTGAAAGCAATATCATTTGGAAAACATTTAATAATTGGAATTGATATATGACAGAACTTGCCTATAATGCATTGGCATGCATCAAACTGTATTGGATGTGGCAAATGGTTCTTTGCTTGCATCATATAATGGGTGGGATTTGGGGTCGACTGTTGACTTGCAGTGCTTATGCTTAACATAATTGTTTCAGACAAAGAAGGATGACATGTTGCGTTATAAATTGGAGCGGATTCCCTTCCTTGAAGAGCAAGTGAGGAAGGTACGGGATGGTGGGAAGCTCTTGACACATGATATTGAGAGATTGTTGCTATCAGAGGATAACAGATTTGATTTTGTAAATGAGGTAGCAGCAGAGGCAAAAGAATATGTCGAGAGTGACAGAGATAAGTATGGTGGTAAGAAAAAGGCAATATTTCATGTGCTTAGTAACCGAATGAACGATGCTGGGTATTACCGTCCAGAGGCATATGAGGAATCTGACCCTTTCAAGCCTGGGCCTGGCTATTTGAGACAAGAGTTGTATGATCTCTGAAAATTAGGTATACTACATTAACATTCAGCTAAACTCTCTAATTTGTCATTAAAATTGTATCAATCTGATGTTTATACATTTCTGAAGTGACTTTAGCTTTGTTTTCAAATCTAGAATAGGAAGGGTTAAGCCACTCGTTTTTTCTTTTCTTTTTATCTGTTGCATCAAAAATGCTTACAAGGGGTTGCCATCTGCTAGGGTTATTCATTAATGATTGAATGTCCAGCGCAGCTTTTTGATTTGGGAAATTTGTTGTCTAAACCGGGTCTATATTTAATATGGATAAATCTCACATTGGAATTATGCTTGATTGTCTGTGATCAAATTGATTGATAATCGACATCTACAGCCGTCCACGAAAATATCAGCCTGTAATTTCAGTCTCCTGTAACTTTTTTTTTTCTTTTTTTAAATTTAGTTATAGATATTTTAAGATTATGAGGAGAATTTAAATTACATATTTTGCTATTCATGGCGAAAAAGATTAACTAAAATATTAAAATTACATTATTGTTGTAATTAAATGAGATTTAGCACGTTGAGACAGTCTATTTGTAAATATATATACGATCTACAGTAGATCTAGTTTGAATCTCTCTTACTCAATACTCAAAACAAAAAAAAAAAAAAAAAAAAAAAAAAAAAAAAAAAAAAAAAAATACCGCTCAGGCAATACTTAAAAAAAAAAAAAAAAAAAAAAAAAAAAAAAAAAAAAAAAAAAAGAGATTTACCCTTGTTTGGATGTGTGTATTTTGTTTGGATGTTTATATTTTTTTTGAAAGAAGGAAAATAACTATGAAAAATATTTAGGAAAAGGTATTTTTCCTTGTTTGAGAAAGAGGAGGAAAATATTGGAGGAATCAATATTTCATTTATTTTCCATGCATGCCTACATGTTTTGAATCTCTCCAATTGGAAAAGAAAATAATGGAAAGGCCTACATGTTTTGAATCTCTCCAATTGGAAAAGAAAATAATGGAAAAAGTGAAATTTTATCCATTTTTATTAAATTATCTAAATACACCAAACTAATTAATAAAATTTAATCCCTCTCACATATTTCATTTTTTTTTAAGTGAGGATATAATTGTCTATTAATAATATTTATTTTCCTCTAAATTTTTTTTTCCTTTCCAAACAAATGAAAATAAATTTATTTTTTTCATTATATCCAAACACAAGTGTAGAAAATACTGTAGAAAGAAATTATTCAATTCCTCATTCATTTTCCTTTATTATTAGTTTTTCCCTTTTATATACAAATTATTGATTTGAAATTATGATTAATACAACTTTCGAAGTAATAATTTTTATATTTTTTAACTATTTTGTTTAATCAATCTAATTTTATAAATTGAGATATTTAATATGTGAAAGGAAATGTTTAATAGGTCAAATTTTATAAAATTTAAAAGTATTATAAAACTTTCACGAAAAGCATAGAGGTTAATTGATATAGTAAGCCAGCATAATTTTGTTTATGAGCTATAGGGGTGTCAAAACGCATTGCTGTGTCGGGTTCGATACAGATTCGCTTAACACGCAAAAGATTAGTGTCAACACAAAAACGATCCTTTTAATAATCACATCAAATTTGTCAATACAAACATGACACGAAAATTAGGCAGGTGATAGAAATACAACATGTGCAACCCGTATAATATCATAAGTACGTTAAGTGGATTATGTTGACCCGTGTAATCCGCCTAATATCATAAATAAATTAAGTGATCATGTTGACTTGTATACAACCCACTTAACTTGTTTATAATATTTTTAAATTTTAACCTAATTAACTCAAATCATATTTAAAAATAAATTTTGTACATAAAATGTATAGATTCTCAAATATTTATAACTAAAATAATAAAAAAAATCAATACAACAATAAAGTTTAAATAAAATTTTAATTAGGGTATTTACATTTGTTACTAAAATTATCTCTTTACTCTGAAATAAATAGGTCACTTGCCTAATTCGCGTGTTAACCGTAACACGATTTATACTTATATTCATATTATAAATTTACGACTCATTTATAATACCAAGTCGTTTAATCATAATGTATTTATTCCGCGTGTCGAGCGAATTTTGTACATTTTGACATCCCTAATTAGATGTGTTATTTGTCATTCTTTTGAATATTTGTTTTCAACGTGCAAATACATTTGTAATGGTTTTACAGCAACGAATTAGAGCCACAAATTCCGACACGTTATAAACAGCAACCTACCATTTCTTCGCCACGTCATCAATGAGATCCCACCGAGTTTCATGTGGGCCCCAATCCAATGTGTCAAAAATAAAACAAATACAAGCACTTCGAGTGTGGAATCCAATCGTTAAATTAGTTAAGAGGTTTTGCTTCATCCTCTTATCCTCCTTCAGTACCATACAACAATATCGCCTGGAATTCGTTCCTAACTCAGTGACTGACTCAGTTGGCTATGGCATTATTAAGCCCTCAATTAGAGAGGTTCTTATTAACAAAGCTTCATCATGGCATCCACTCTAACTTGAAATCCTCCACCAAGAACAATAACTTTATTCCTGCCAAAACCAAAACCCAATGCTCGGCTATTGCAATAGATGCGCCGTCTTCCTTGACGGATGTTGCTGGGATTCGGTGGGGGTCTGCAAGCTTGCAGGGCCTACGTGAAGAGATGGAAGATTATATCATCATTAAATCAGACGGCCTTGATGGATTCTCTTTTGCTGGTGTTTTTGATGGCCATGGTGGTAACTCTTCTGCCAAGTTCCTCAGGTTTGCTCTAACTGGAAATAGCAGTACAATAATCAAGTGTCTGTTTCTTTTTTTTTTTTTTTTTTTTTTTTTTTTTTTTTTTTTCTGATACATAATTTAACCCATTAATTTTTGATTAAAAAAAAACATTCTTGTTAACTTTTTATTTTCTAAGTGGTCACTCTTGCGGGGTACCTTTTGTAAATAGTCAATACTTCTTATACTAAAAAATAATAATTTTTAATAATTTTTTTATTTTTATCATGTAAAAAATATTGATTGATTGATTTGATCGTAGTTTAATATAATTTTTGGCAATAATAATTTTTTAATTTTTGCTATTTAATAAGCATTTTAAATTTTATAAATTTTTTTATTTTTATATGTAAAATATTGATTTGATTTGATTTGATACGTAGTTAATATAATTTTTGGAATAATAATTTTTATATTTTTAACTATTTAATAAGCATTTAATTTTATAAATTAAAGTGTTCAATCAATCAAGCAAATTGTTAACTGATTTAATTATAAGTGCAATTATTCATCGGGTCAAAGAAAAAATTTATAATATCATTTATGTACTGAGTCCCATTTTTCATTACAAAGGAGGGCCAACTCATATCACCCGAGGTAAATTTATTACTGATTCCCATTTTTCATTACAAAGGAGGAACAACTCATATCACCCTCCGTTGTTAAAATAGTTATGATAGTGGAGGATCGTTAAAATAGTAGTACAATAATCGAGTGTCTATCATATACGAGGGTCAAATCGTGTCAACCTCCATTCCCTGTAAAATATTTATGATGTATAAATAAAATAAAACTTAGGTGACATTCTGTTAATTATAGTTTAAAGACAAATTATGACATTAAAATTTTGTGACCGTGATTCATCAGTACAAAGTCAAGCGAACATTAGTATAATTTGCATGCTCATTCTACTCTATTTTGCCAATTTACAGGGATGAATTGTACAAGGAGTGTATTGCAACTTTACAAGACGGTTTGCTATTGAGTGGAAAAGATTTCAATGCCACCATAAAAGCATTAAAGGAGGCTTTTGAAAAAGTTGATACCAAATTGCTAAATTGGTAAGTTACAAGCTTTGAGGAATGGAAAAATAGATGCTCATTGAACAATATCAGTTTGATTATATATTCTATATGGTTATTGTATTGAAAGTTTAGAATGTGTTTAATTTTTATAAAGGCTTGAAACAATTGGTGAAGAAGATGAATCTGGTTCGACAGCCACTGTCATGTTCATTGGAAACAATATGCTAATCATTTCACATATTGGTGACTCATGTGTGGTACGCTATATATTCTGATGTTATTTTCTTTCTTCCATTCTCATGAACTTTTATGGTTGTTTCCGGATTAGTATGATGGATTTTTCTGCCAATTTTTGTAGATGATCAGTAATCGAAGTAGCTGTTATGTAAATTTTTGTATATCCTTAAAAAATATGTTGATGTAGGTCCTTTCTCGTTCTGGAAAATCAGAAGTGTTGACTGATTCTCATCGACCTTATGGAAGCAATAAGGCCTCTCTGCAAGAGATCAGAAGAATTAGAGAAGCAGGTGGATGGGTGTGTTTTTCTGTTCTTGATTTTGTTTTTTCCACTTTTATTAATGAACTTTTTTTATTTATTTCTTAGATCTCATTCCTAATTTTGCATTGTTTAATGCCTTGAATATTGTCCTAAAAGATGCCATTAGGATATCTAACAACGATTCTTACTGTGATCTTTGTAGATTGTTAATGGAAGAATCTGTGGAGATATAGCTGTATCAAGAGCTTTTGGTGATATCAGGTTCAAGACGAAGAAAAATGAGTTCAGTCCTTTTACTCCCTATTTAATATTCTTAACATAAATCCTGTTGTTGGATCTCCATACTACTCAAGTACATTACCTGCTAGCTTATTCATGTCTAACGATTTCTAGATTTTTTATGCTTGTGTAGGATGGTGCAGAAAGGAGTCGAGGAAGGGCGATGGTCTGAAAAATTCAGTTCCCGGTAAGAACTCTCCTTTATTTTCCTATGCTGATTGTATCTTCTATGGCTACTAAATCAAATCTGCCTAGTCTAATTAAAGGACACAAGAATCTAGAGGAAAAGGCAAATCTGGTTACTAGTTCAAAGCCGACATAATAGTTTGCTAACATATGGATGCATGAGGAATGAGTAATATTTTTGTTAGCCAAATATGTACAAGGAAAACTTGTTGCCTCTTATATTCATCAAATGAAGCGACTGAAATTTATCTTTTAGCTGTAATTATCACTTGTTAAAAATGCATGACTGAACACTATAACTTTAAACTGAGCAAGATTTCTAATTTGCAAGCTTGTTTAGAATGATAGTGATCTTGTGTTTTGACAGAGTACGATTCAATGGGGACCTAGTTATTGCATCTCCAGATGTTTTTCAAGTACCTTTGGAATCAGATGCTGAATTTATAATGTTAGCTTCTGATGGTTTATGGGATTACATGAGCAGGTTTGTCGGTGCATTTTTCTGAGTATTAGGCATTTGTTAAAATACACAATACAGCTTTCTGTGTTGTTATTATTTTCTTTATCCAAGTTATGAGGATTTTCAAGCCTACTCTCGCTTTCAATGTTTTGTTCCAGCTCAGATGCAGTTAGTTTTGTTAGGAACCAACTACGGAAACACGGAGATGTTCAGGTAAGTAGTTTCGTTGACACTGAATATTGATTCCATATTTCCAAAGGATCATTGCAATGGTTAAGTCGTGAGGTATTCACCAGTGGGTTTCAAGTTTAAAACCATTGATGTTTTTACCATTACAGCTGTACTAACTAAATATTACTGTTATTCTGGTTTCAGCTAGCTTGTGAAGAACTTGCACGAACAGCTTTGGTAATGTCTTAGCTAGCTTTTCTCATTTCACAGTACTGTTCTTAAGCAGCTATATATATGTTCCACTTTAAGATTTTCTTCTTCCTTTCTTGAGATTCTACCCAAGCAGTTTTAATAACCTAAAGTTGCTTATATTGCAGGATCTACGTTCACAAGATAATGTCAGCATTATCATCGCTGATTTAGGGTATGGATATAGTATATCTGTTACTATTATGCTTCCTAGTGTGACTCCAAGTTAAGCCAACCTAATAATTTGAGTTGACCTCAAGATGTATGAACTAATTTCAAATATCTTAGCCGGATTCATAGATTTTAGGGTCCTAGTTGCAAGACAAGATATAGACTTGTCTTGGATCTTGCGCTCACCAACCTCAATAGCTAGTTTTTGTGAGGTGTGGTTCTTCCAAGATCATAACAATTGGTATCAGAGCCAATCATTACTTTCCCCGATTGCAATCGAGCGGCTCAGGTGGTGACATCGGAAAACCTAGTTGTAAGACAAGGTATGAGACTTGTCTTGGATCCCACATTGGAAGTATGGGATTTCAATGTGGGGTTTATATGAACTTACCCTCTCTAATCTCAATGGTTAGCTTTAAGGTGTGGTTCTCCCAAAATCATAAACAAAGTTGACCGTTAAATCACATGATGATTAAGTAATGAAGCCTTAGGTGATACTCACTGTGATTAACTCGGATCTTGTTACTCTTGTTTCTACAAGAACCTTAAATTAGAATTTCTAGCAAGGAGAAAAACAGAATATGGACTTGAAATTACCAATTCTGTTATATAATTGTCCATGGATTTTCGTCTTTTTTGACATTTTCTTTTCTGCATTGGTTTGAACTTTTTTTTTTTTCACAGTCAAACAGATTGGCAAAATTTGCCACTCCAGCAAGAGAATGTATTGTACGAGTTCGGTCAAGCTTTTGCCACCGTTGGTGTTGTCTCACTTGGAATATGGATATTTTCTCAGCTTTCTCTGTAGATAGATTTGATAGCTTCTTGAAATGTATATAAATCGGTTTATAGATAATATACTGTTCAGATAAACATGTATATGTCTCACATTTTCATGCTCTGTGGTTTAGAAAATAAATGAGGACTTGCATGGAAAGAATGGTAAAAACAAGGTGTTTCATTCTTTTATATTTTTGTGTTCATACCTTCAAATGGGCATTAGATTGCTCATCTTTGTTTAGGACTTTCTTACCCATCATTATCATATAACACAATTCAGCATTGAATCATGAAAATGAAAAATTTATCTTTGGTATTATTGTTGTTTTTTGTTTTCCAATTGTCAAAAACAATATTACCCTCAAAAACTATTCTTTTTGTTCTTTAATAGCTTAAACAAAGATTCCACGATATTTAAAAACATCATAAGAAGTAATTTTTGCTTATTTTCCCAATTCATTTAAGAGGGTGGCTTCGGTGTAACGGTAAAATTACCCTACTATGACTTGAACATCATGGGTTCAGTCACAGAAACAACTCTCTGCCAAAATAGAAGATCTAGCCCATACATGTCGCATGCTTCATTTCTTAGTTATGGGTTGGACTATAAGAACCTGTGCAATTTGTTGTAGGGTGAAAACCAACCAAACCGAAATGTTTATAGAATCAAATTGAATCAAACAGAACTGGTTACATTCAATTTGATTTTTTGGTATTATTTTACTTTTCTGGTTAAATCAACTTTAGTTTTTACCAAGTTCTAAAATCGAATCAAACTGAAAATTTAAAAACAAACAATACCAATCAGTTTAGTTGGTTTTACAGATTACTTCCCACCCAAGTAGGAATATAAAAATAATAAATTATTATAAAACCATGGATTTTAAATATATCTCAAATTAAATACTGACGTACTTGCAAATTTTATAGAAACTCGAAATTACTTAAGAAGTTAAAAATGAAGTAAAATGCATATAAAAATGCAAATTGAATTTTAAGACATTCAATCAGCCATCCAACCAGCAAGTTGAGTCAATTCAGTTCTAAACCAGCTGGATTCGAAGTTAAAACCGAGTATGAGAAACTAAGCTGGTCGGATTAAGGATTGTGCTGAGAGTTGAATAATGCAAGGAGAAATTATGTCATTAGTGATTTAATATCGAACCGATTGCTTATATTTCATCCTGAGCACAGATAATCTTTTCTGAATGGAAAAGATCTCATCCTTTCTACCTGCTTTATCCAAGTAAAATACAATTTTCTTCAGGGTTTGCATAACCTCTTTACTCTCATTGCCAAACTCTTTCTCTTGAATTTTCAGAACTCGCTTTAGCAATTCCAGTAACTCATCATCAGCCCTGCCTAACCTGGTCTGAATGGATACCAAACAGTCCAGAGCCTCCCCTGTACCAAATGAACACAACATGCAGTAAAAGCCCGTCAAATTACACGTAAAGTGTAATTATCATTGTGTTGACGCCTGATGAACGAGAAGAAAAAAACAATAAAAAGAGACGAGCTTACCAACTGGAAGAGAATCTTTCCCAAATGCCTTCTCACGGATATGCAATACCTCTAAGGCAAGTAGTTCTGCTTCTTCGTCCCGATTTAGATTGTATAGAGTTACTGCAAGATGCAACATTGGAAAGGAGACAGACTGGTCATCGGGGCTGACTGTTTTCTTCACGATCTCCAGGCTTATTCTCAATAAGCGTTCAGCCTCAACAAAATTCTTTGACTCTGAATAGGAGGTTGCAAGATTTAGAAGGTGGGGAACTAAACTGGGATGTCCTTTTCCTTTATATTTTTCAGTGATCAACAAGCATTCCTCCAGCAGCTCTCGGCCTTCTTTTCCCCTAAGAGAAATCAAATTTTGCATATAAAAGAAAAAAATTAGACAAAAGTAATGACGTTTCTCAGAAATGCAATCCTGCAAAAGAATAAATCGGTTCATTTCTCTACTATTTGTCTAACTTTTGGAAGACTTTGTTTTTCATATATAGCTTGTATCTGTCCCAGTATTTTTCACCAAAATAAATAGCTTTGTGTGGCACCCGGAAAGATGTCATACAATCATGACTAGAACAACTGCTTGAAAGGCTTCAACAAAGCAACCATAGCACTCAAAAATGTTCTTGAAAATAACAAACCACAAATTCAAAAAAAACAAATCACAGGAAGAGAGAAAATTTCATGATAAACATTGTTCAATGATTTTTTGCCAAATTATTGGAGCAGTTTCATTTCACAAACACCAATAGGGGAGGGGAGGAAAAAATACACTGAAATAAGCAGCAAATAAAATGCACAAAAGGAAAATTGCATTTGCATTTTCAGGCTTTACCTTCCTACAACATGAAGTAATTCTGCCAAATCAATCCTCATCTTCTCCATGATACTGTCATCCACAGCCATATAATTCGATTCCTTGATGAGCCAAAGACCCTTTTTGTACGAGTCAATAGCTTCTTCCACATTTCCTGAATGAAATTGTCATAACAACCATACTTGAGTTCCTTTCAAGAGGATATGATGAGAGCAACTCCCAAAACTGCAAGTACATATACAATATATGTACATATATATCTATCTATCTATCTGACCTGTTGAGCATTTCACATGGGCAAGTGAACACAAAGCCATGCCAACTCTTCCATCTTTTTCACCATACAACTTCTTATATATTCTTAGAATTCTAGACACAGACAAAAGGAGTGAACAATAATGCGCAAACTACATATTTTCCAGCAAAGACAACATAAAACATAAAGCAACCTGGTAAAATTAGATTCTGCATCTGTAGTTCTTCCTTCTTTGATCAAAAGATTGCCTAAACCAAATAAAGGGACCACCAAGTCTTCACTCTCAGCACCTCTGACTGATTCCAAAATAATTATTACACGATTATAGACCTTTATTGCTTTCGCCACTCTTCCAATGGAACCAAGAACTTTTGCCATCCCCAACAATGGTGAGACAAGAAAAATACTACTTTTCCCTAGCAAAGCAATGCAATAGAAAAACTATTAAGTTTCAGATTAAGGCTTTCAATAGTAATAGTTTAAGAAAAATTCCAAGATTAATTGCATGACTAGGAGTTCAGAAAAAAAAGGAAGGAGGGGGGGGGGGGTCAAATATTTTTGCCAAATTATTGGGAGCAGTTTTTCCCATTTCACCAACACCAAATAGGGGAGGGGAGGAAAAAAATACACTGAAATAAGCAGCAAATAAAGCACAAAAAGGAAAATTGCATTTGCATTTTCAGGCTTTACCTTCCCTACAACAATGAGTAATTCTGCAAATAATCTCAATCTATCTTCTCCATGATACTGTCACCACAGCCATATAAATTCGATTCCTTGATGAGCAAAGACCCTTTTTACGAGTCAATAGCTTCTTCCCACATTTTCCTGACAATGAATTGTCCATAACAACCATACTTGAGTTTCCCTTTCAAGAGGAATATGATGAGAGCAACTCCCACCTGCAAGTTTACATATACATATATTACATATATATCTATATCTAATCTGACCTGTTGGAGCATTCACATGGCAAGTGAAACACAAGCCAATGATGCCAACTCTTCCTCTTTTTTTCACCATACAACTTTTAATATTCTTAGAATTCTAGACACAGACAAAAGGATGAACAATAATGCGCAAACACAAATTTTTCAGCAAGACAACATAAAACAATAAAGCAAACCTTGGTAAAATTTAGATTCTTGCATCTGTAAGTTCTTCCTTTCTTTGATAAAGATTGCCTAAACAATAAAGGGACCACCAAGTCTTTCACTTCAGCATCTGACTGATCCAAAATAATTATTACCGATTATTATACCTTTATTGCTTTCGCCCCTCTTTCCAATGGAAACCAAGAACTTTTGCCAATCCCAACAATGGTGAGAACAAGAAAAATACTATTTCCTAGCAAAGCAATGCAATAGAAAAACTAATTAAGTTTCATGATAAGGCTTTCATAGTAATAGTTTTTAAGAAATTCAAGATTTAATTGCATGGACTAGGAATTTCAGAAAAAAAGGAAGGAGGGGGGGGGGGGGGGGGATCCTGCAGGACCAAAAGTAAAAGAACTTATAAAATGACTTAACTTATCAATTTTAAATTGCTGAAAATTTGACGAAAACTGCAACCTATTAGTCATGAACATATTCAAAACGGTATTACAGCCCCAAGAATGAGTATTATTTATAAGAAAGGGAATGCAGTAGCATGGATCAGCTGCCAACTCGAAATATGGGAATTCTAGTTTAACTCCAGAGATGCCCAAGAATAAAAAATAAGCTGTAGACCAAAGGGCAAGCTGGTATTAGCTGTAGAAAGTATTAAACTGCTTCACTGCGTCATGGAAGAAAAAATTTGAATGCTATCAAGCTTCAACATAACCAGGTAGTAAATTTTCAAAAATATCATACTTTTAATGATGTAATCTATCAGAATAAATCGTATAACAAGCAGAGCAAGTCGAAGTTTGAATAAACCAGCCAACTGAAAATATCAGAGTTCTAATGTTATATACCAACAATCACATAACAAAAAGTTTACACAAGGTTGCACTCACCATATTTGCTTTCTAGAACACCAATTACTTTCTGATATATAATCATGGATTTCTCAAACTTCCCCAAAGCTGAATACATGCTTCCCATATGCATTAATACTGATTCCAGAAGTGGTCCATCATCTTTTACACTTTCAACAACTTCATTCAACTAACCATCCATGAAAATGAAGCATCAGAAACAGAGAGAGATATTCAAGAATCTAAGTCCTTTGCCAGCATATTCATGACTTCCTATCCATACTGGTATGCAAATGCCTTAACTGGTGCAGGATAAGTGAATAAGAAAAAAAAAAATAATCACCTTTTTTACAAGATTTATTATGCAAGGCCAAAAATTCAGAATTTCCTCAAGTTGCCATTTCCATTATCCTATCTGTAGCAATTTTAAAATCAGGATTATTGTTTAGTTAAATTATACTTTATTTGGAATAATCACATCCTACTATTAGGATTGACTATCTAAGACTTTATTCCAGAAGTATTTTTTTCTTATAGCCCTATTATTGAAGGATTTAAAGTTGTAAATAGGGCTTTAGTGTTTAGTTCTAAATCAGATTTGGAAGGAAAAATTTTGTAGTCTATTCCCGGGTTGTGTACCAGAAACTTTAGCCTACTTGATTGATGTTTTGGTCTCTTATTCCTCTCTTTTCAATATCCTCTTGTCAAATTTAACCTAATTTAGGATTATGGTTAATCTGCTATCTCAATTCTGGTATCAAAGCAGAATTTCAATCCCAAATCTGCAATGGCAGTAAGGATTCCTAGGGTTAATCAAGCCCTAGAGATGCAAGAAATGCCACGATGATGGAACTGCTCATGCAAGCAGCGAGAAACTTGAATGGAGATCATGTGGGAGTCCAAATAGAGATACCAAAGTCCAAAAGACAAATGCAACCCTTGAACCTTCCGAAAGGAGCTGTTGAGAATGAAGAAGAATACATTGTGGAGACGATGAATTTGTTTCATAAACCCCTGATTTATGAACAACCTAAACATGGTGTATTGGAGGACTGACTGGTGAGATCTTTTCAAATTAATCCGGAATATCAATTCAAATTCCAGTTTTTCATCAAAATTCAGCTTTTGAGTAAGTGTTAATAACTTCAAATTCAACAAATTCCTGATTTTCATCAATATTCAGCTTTTGAATAAGGGTCAATAAATTCAAATTCAACTACTAAAATTGACAAGAAAATTAGTTATTGCGGGTAGAACAAGATTGAGGGACATCAATGACCCTAAAGAGAATGACAAAGAGAAATAATTTTCTTGTGTTAGAGCTCAAAACGGTGAAGGCAGCAGCTAGAACAAATCTTCCTCTTCTGGTGTTATGTGCAATAAGCTTGGACGTGCTTCTAATTCTTACTTCACTCACCAAGAAAATTTAATGGAGGATGAACGTGATGCAATAGACCTCAGGGAACCTATTTACGATCAGTATTGTGATGAGAAAGAAGAAGCAATTAACTTATAACCTATCCAAGGAGAAAACTTTGTTGTTCAACAGGTTATTGATGTCCCTAAACAGAGAAACAAGAATGTTGGAGTATTAAAAGTGACAAAACAAAAGAATATGTTTCTTTTCTTTGTTAAGGAATTATTTAGTTCACAATATTGTAAGTGTATCAATTTACCAATCTCATAAGTATCATACCAAATCCCATCAATCAAATCACTTTTTCAAGACTTGAATTGCCAAAAGGATTGCCAGCAACAAGATCTTTAACATATAATTGATTTACTCCCTATTGCAACTTGACCTAACCAAGCCAATTATTAGAGGATGCGCACATGAGCAAATATGGGTTACCAAGTCAAAGATCTAATTAATAGAGGGGATGCAGGTAATTAGTAATGCTCCCTATGCTGTGCAAGTTTGTTTGCCAGCAAAAAATAAAAGATGGAGAATATAAATGGCATGCAATGTTATTTGCTCTTTCAAATGTGCTAAGCACTTGGATATCTGAAAGCTTAGGTAAACTTTTCTAATTATTATGGCTAATAATCCAACTTTTTGTAGGAGCTGAATTCTATCCATCCTGGAAGAATGACTGATGTAGCAAATTAATAATAACCCTAATTTGGTTTAGATTTGACAAAAGAACATTAACAACAGAGTACAAACAAACAAAAACATCAACCAAATAGGCTGAACCTTCAAGTTAAACAGCCAGGAAATATACTACAAAACTCTTTTTTTTTAGCATTTCAAACATCACGGTCCTATTTATGGCTTAAAATCCTTCTAGAATAAGACCTTAAACAGCAAATACTAAAAGTAGGAATTGACTATTCCAAAAAATCTAACTTCAATAATAACCCCAATTTGAAAAAATGCTATAGTCATGAACAGTAACTCCCTGTAGTAAAGAAAATAGGAACTTGAGAAAATTCTGAAATTCTGAATTTTTGTTCCAGTACCAGGTTGGGCCAAACTGCCGACATAGCATTAGAGAAGTTCACATGAATCATATTCCATGATCATGAATATGTACACATCTTTACCCGCCAAACAAATTTTAAAATTGTCAATTCCTAAGATTTTAACATCATGCATACCCACAAGTTTAAGCAGTTTATAATTGTTCATCAGGTTCAATGAAAGTAAGTAGCAAATTCATTGAGAAAATTACCCACTTAAGAAGACTATAATAAGAATTTCAAAAGTTATTTAGAAGCCATTACTTCCTTGAGATCCTAAGTAAACTGGCTAGAATAAGCCGAACCTATAAATATATGGATTAACTACTGCTCCCATCAGTAAGTTAAGTATCGAATCATATGATTGTTCAACACTAGAGTTACAGAAAACGTTAAAAGATGAAAGTATAAAACCCATGTAAAAGGAAAGTTACCAAATTTAGTACAGACCCAACAGACTTTAGATCACCACTAGCCATGTATCCCAAGGCTATGACGTCAAGAGTAGCAGCTTCTTCAATTCCTTTAGCACCTGCATTTATCTGTTCTTTGACAACTTCATAATTTGCCTGCAGTAGGTCCATAGCATCATCTTTGTTTCCCATCAAAATCATTGCCTTGACTTCATCAAATAACTCTTGCAATTGACTCTCAAAATCATTCACACTACCTCTAGGGTTACTTGGGCCATCAAGCAATGTTTCTGACCTGGTAATACAAGACTAAACACAGAATCAAAGACTTCAACTTCTCTTTTCTTTATTTTTTAAACATGCTAAAGCTACTAAAATATTTAAACTAGGTATAGGATTGATCAAATCCTAAAAGTGATGTCAGAAAATCTTCAAAAGGTAAAGAAAAGATGAAGGGCATAAACAAAATGTATAAAAGGAAGTGTCAATGTTTGAGTGTGTTCCTACCTAAGGAAGTCACTTGCATTTGAGACTCCTGATGAAACAAATTTTCTTTGGCATGTCCCCTCCACATTTAATGAGGCAACTGAAGTAAAATCTTTCAACACACAATGACAACTAATGGCTTGGGTAGGTATCATGAATAGTTTGAAGTTGCATCCCTTATTTTTCAAACAAATTGAAAAGCGTCTCACGCCTCTTTGATTGCTTGAATGAAAGTCTACACATGCTTGAGCAATCCTGAAATGTGCAGACAAGCAAAATTAAAGAATTACAGCCTTGCAACCTATTACACAATAGAAGGTAATCCAAGAAAGTTGTATGTAGAAAATGTAACAGAGTAAATTTTAATGGGAGTTTTTTATTTTTTGATGCCTAAACAGCAAAACCTCCTTCTAATCAGTTAAAATTATTATCACTTACTAGAATTCAGAATGAAGATTTCAATTACCTTATCACTGAACTATAGGAGGTTTCATAACCTAATTACAAGTAGCAGAAGGCCAAAAATAAAATCAACAGAAAGTGAGAGAGAGACTACCTGTGGTTGCTTAAGGATAGAGAAGACAGAAGAGAAACTGCCATTTCTTGAAGTTGCAGTATACAGAGCAGCTCTTAACGTACGATGATATATGGCGATTGCCGAGTGAAAGAATTAAACTCGCTGAGTCGAGGGTTTTGTCTGTCCCTTGCACACTCGCTTAAGCCCTATTGGAACTCGCCCAGTCAGAGAAAACAAGTCAAGTGACGTGTTGTTCGTTTCGGATTAAGTTTTTTATTTTTCTTAAAAAAATAAATAAAATTTATTTGTTGAAACTTGTTTGATTTTTTTTTCTTTAATTTTTAGAAAACCGTTTTTTTTAAGAAATAATTGAAAAAATATATTAATCTAAAGTCAAGACACTGAACAATAAAACGAGGAGGGATACTAAGCCATTCCCCTATATTTAACTCTGAATGAACCACGCTTACTAACAAACTAGTAGCTTCATTTGCAGACCTACTAGCATAAACACAAAGAAAAGATTCTATCTCTTGCAATAGAGATTTACCATCATAAACTAATAGACCAAAAGAAGATAAGTCAACATTCGATGGGTGATTAAAAGCCAACACAACCGAATGTGTATCGGATTCTAGAACAACATGGCTCCATCCCTATAATTTAATCCAACTTAACGCTTCATGGATTGTGATAATCTCAGTAACTTTGGCATCAACAAACCCCTGACAGCAAAGATTTTTAATAGCTACAAACCTCCCTTGTCACAGGCTAAGAAACCTAAACCAATATTTTCACTATTTGTGTTCAAAGATGCGTCGGTGTTCACTGATGCATCAGTGTTCACTTTGATCTCGTTCAAAGGAGGAGGCTTCCAAGTTCGCCTATGATCTGAGGGAGCATTAGAGCATCAATGGATTGCCAAACCTTCTTCCAATTGTTAAGATAATGCCTTGCCATGTGGAAAACTAAAATGGGGGATTATACTTCTACTGCCAAACCACCATGTTGTCTGTTAGTCCATAGAGCCCAGCAAATTACAAGAATTAAAGATATCTCCTCCACTTGTGCAGGAATCAAATCCACAATACATGTAGCATATGGGAAGTGCCACCCTACCGATGATGCAAGCTAACAATCTTGTGCATAAGAACATTGCACTAAAACGTGGAGGATAGTTTTACATAAAGGGCATGTAGTCTGAACAGGAACCCTCCTCTACTGTAAAATCGTTAAACAAGGCAAGATGTTGGTAAGAGAGTGCCAAGCAAAGTTCAAAACATGAGGCAACACCTTTGTATGCCACAATCTAGTCTAAAGCTCATTGTGGGCTAGACTTTCTTCAGTAGCAAGAAGAAAGAAATATCGGTATGTGCTACGAACTGAATAGTTTCCTTTTTCCTCAAACTTCCAATATACCTTGTCCTAGGAAGGACCTCTGCTTAAAGGTATAGAGAGGATGCAACGCTGATCTCTCTCATTAAACATATTGGCGACATCAGAAATATTCCAACCATGCCCATTTATCAAATCAACCACACAAAACACAAACACATGAGATGGTCTTGGAGTCGAAATAAAAGAATTAGTTGGATCCTTTAGCCATGGATCATTCCAAATGAGAATCTGAGCCCATCCCCAACCCTCCAATATAAACCCCTACAAATAACATCACGAGCTTCCTATATGCTACGCCAAAGATAACTCGGGTTTGTACCTAAGCGGGCATCAATGAAAGAGGTTGTAGGGTAGTACCTGGTCTTTAAAACTCTTGCAGCAAATGAATTGGTTTTAGTGATAGGTTCCAAGCCTGCTTCCCTAACACCGATAGATTAAAAGCACATAACCTATCAAAGCCCAAATCGTCAAACGATTTCCATTTACACATCTTGCTCTAGCTCATCCAGTGGATTCCTTTGGAATTATTGCTACCCCTCCCCCACCACAAAGTGTTCATGATCCTCTTCAACTCTTCATAGAGCATTAACATAAATTAGGACTATCTGCAAAATAGTCTTTAGTAACACCTCTTTACTGTCCTTTAACAATGTTCTCCTCTTTCACGAATTAAGTTTCAGCTATATTTCGTCCTTGACAAATTGAAACACCTCAGTCTTATTCTGACCAATGTTCAATGGTAAGCCCATTATTTACCAAGTCCATCTTGTTCAAGAACACCAAGAACATTACAAATATTCCTGTGCACATGAGAAGGAGCATTAGCACTCAAGGAAACAGAGGATTTTGAGAAGTTGATAACCTAGCTTGATGCAACTTCATACCTTGGAAGATTGCATTTAATAACACTAGCTTGTTATCCCTTGGCTTTAAAGAATATCACGCTATCATCTCCAAAGAATAGATAGGAAACAATAGGACCACCTTTAGGAAAGCTACACCCATGCAGATCACCTTGGATGATATGATGTTGAATTAATCGGGAGAGACCCTCCGTACAAATAATGAATAGATAAGGAGACAAGGAGTCTCCTTGTCTGAGTCCCTAGGACAGAAGGATAGGTCCATATTCTTGGCCATTCTGGATGATCCAATAGTGAATTGTAGACATACAAAACATTAAATTCACCCATCTCAGTGAAAAACCCATACGAATCATAACTTCCTAAAGAAAAGACCACTTCAATCTATTGTATGCTTTATTGATGTCCATTTTCAGAGTTGCATAAAATGTCTGTACCACTAGTTTTCTTGTAAAAAAAAAATGCATAACCTAGAAAACAATGATGATATTGTCCTAAATACTTCTTCTTACCATAAAAGCACTCTGACTTTCCGAGATAATCCTAGGTAAGAGGGGCTTAAGACGGTTGGCTAGCGTTTTAGATAAAATCTTATAAAAAACATTACAAAGCTCAATTTGTCTTAGGTCTCCCATTACCTCCAGACAAGATTTCTTAGAAATCAAAACAATTGCAATGTCATTAAGGCTATTCAGAAAAGTGCCTAACTCAAGAAAAAAGATACAAGACTAAGAAATATCCGCACCTATAGTATCCCAATGCTTTTAGTAAAACACGGGATTAAAACCATCCAACCCAAACGATTTGTCCGGCTCCATTGAAAAGATCGCATAACACACTTCTTTCGACATAAATGATGCTAAGAGGGATTTACTTTAATCATAGGTAATAAGACTAGGAACGTGATTCACCACTGTATCCAAATTCACAGCTTGGGTAATAAACAGGTCTAAGAAATAGTCAATCATCAATTTTGAAAGACTCGTATACCAATCTCACCATTCACCCATGGCTTCTTTTAACCTTTTGATTTTATTCCCGTGCTGTCAAGAACTAGCCATGGCATGAAAGAATCAGGTATTAGCATCACCCTCCTTCAGCCAATATTCCTTAGCTCTTTGTTTCCAACGGATTTCCTACTAAAGAGTTAGCTCGTGAAACCTCACTTTAGCCTTAGAAAATAATTTGATATCCTCCTGAATTGGAGACCTCCATAATCGAGCCATAGTACTTTTGCATGCAGTGGCCCCTTATGGAAATTTCGAATATTAGCTCCCTAATGAAAAAACATAGAACTACACCTCGACAGTCTGATGAGAATTCTAAGATGGATACTCGCTCCAACTTTGAGCAATTAATTCATAACAACCACTTTCTCTCAACCAGCTGTTTTTGAAACAAAAACGTCTATAATGGCCACGAGGAACATATTTTCTCAATTCAAGAAAGAAAAGGAGATGATCAGACGATGGTACTTCTAAGACAACACTTGACTTAAAATGTTTCTTCATGAGGCGTTAGTAAAGATTCTATCCAGTTTTGCTTCCTTCCAATTCAAGCCATTTCTATCATGCTCCCATATGAATTTATACCCTTCCATAGGAAGCTCATAAAAGATCTGTATCTAAAATACAGTTTTAAAACCCATTCATTAAGTGTTCAAGTTGTGGATGACCTCCTCATTTTTCATGGGACGCAAGGATATTCTTGAAGTCTCCCAGACAAACGCACAACATATTACTATGAGAAGAGAGCACGAAGTTGCTGCCACAAAATATGTTGCCTGTTATGATCAGCTATCCCATCAAAACCTGTCACCCTCCAAAGCCCTATATCCTCCACATCCACTTCTAGATCAATATGATGAGAAGAAAAGCCCAAAACTGAAATCCTTCTAGAAGATTTCCATAAAAAAAGTTAGCGCCATCCATTATGTCCCATATTGTCAACCACGAAACAGTTATCATACTGCAACAAATTCTTTGTTTCTTGAATTTTATTCAAATTACAAAAAGTTCCAAAAAGGAAAATAAAGTGTGCCTTCTTATCCCTCATAATATCCTGGAGGGTTCAAATTGCTCGTGGGTTGCCAAGCCCACGACATTCTAGCTTAAACAACTCATTTCTTCCTACAGGCTTGGGAATCAGTACCTGACAATATCACATTTTTTAGAACCAAAGAACCTTCAGCATCGTGTTGGCCCATGCCTATAATTGGGCCAGATTCTTGGGCCAACCTCTTCCGCTTTGGGTTAGTCACAATAATCTCTTTTGTCTACTTATAACTTAATTAGTGTTGGCAAGCAATGAAGTATTAAAATTCAAAGCAGGACATTTTACACCATGATTCTCACCCCTTATCTCTTATGGATTGGCGACAAATTTGGGATTTGATACGAATGATTCCTAGGAATCTTGGACCTACAAAAAATAATGTTGTCCCGATCACCACTACTGTCCTCCAGTGCTTCCCCCCTCAGCCACCTTGAATCAATGTTCATTTGATTACAACAGTTCGGTGCTCATAATTCCAAGCCATAATGTCAATCAATAACCCTGCTTCCTTTCTCCAAGAGACGCCTACAAAAACGCTTAGTTTGCCCTAGGTGACTATAAATGAAACAAAAGCTCGGAAGCCTGTCGTATTTAAAAGAAACCCATAACCGATCACCATCAATCTTTTTAAGCTTCTGTGACTTCTTCCATGGCATACACATATCATATTTAATTCGGATGCGCATATAAGAAGGCCAAGTGTTCTTAAAGTTGTTCAGATCAGCTTCCAAAAACTGGCCAATGTGATTGCCAATCCCTTTTGCTACCTTCTAAGACATAAAACCCGTTTGCAATCCATGAACTTAGACCCATAACAAAGTGTGAAACAAAGTGTCACTCCCAACTCCAACTACCAGAGGAATTGTCCAGCTTCCACAAACTGACCAATGTGATTGCGAATCGCCTTTGCTACCTTTTGG